CCCTGACGCAAACCACGAAAACTACGTAAATACCATGAAAATCGTGCCTTCCAATGTATGCAGCAACAACTCAACTACTTAATATCCGGAGAACCTCGGGGATTGCGCGTCAGGGTTTAGGGCCCCGACAGCACCCCAAACCCTAAACACTGACCCTACATCCGAAACCTCAGACTCAAACCCAACCCTGAACCCCGAACCCTAAACCTTAAACCCTAGACCCTAAACCCTAGACCCTAAACCCTAGACTTAGACCCTAAACCCTAAAGCCTGAAGCCTAAACCCTAGATTTAGACCCTAAACCCTAAACCCCAAATCCTCAGCCAAGCCTACTGGGATGAGGCGCTACACTTCCCCTGGGCGGAGGTGGACTGGTCCCTGCCCTTGGACCGCTCCGATGGCCTGGAAGGCAGAATTTTGTGGGTGTTTAGGGTTTAGGGTTTAGGGTTTAGGGTTTAGGGTTTAGGGTTTAGGGTTCACGTTCAGGCTTTAGGTTACTACTGGCCGACGACTAATTACGACTAGTTTGTCGCACTACTGGCACTAAGTGCTTCTGAACGACAACAACAACAACTACTACTACGACGACTACTACTACGACTACTACGACTACTACGACTACTACGACAACGACTCCTACTGCTACTGCTACAATACAACGACTACAACAACGACCACGAGAAACCTAAAACCATACACGGGCCAAGACTAACAGCAAGACGAACAGAAAGAGGAAGACTAGGACTTTGCCTACGACCAAGACTTGTGATTGCCGTGTGATTTCGCAAGATGCCCCAAAACTCTACTCAAATTATTAAGGCCCCATATAGTACGGTGGCGATGGTGATGGGTGCATAGTGGTGGATGCGATGCGGTGACTTCCACTATCTTGCGTGCCGCTGTTTGGTGTTGTTATTGTCGTGTTGGTGGCATTTCGGCAAAGGTGTACTCATTGACATTCGGGTTTCCATGTTTGCTTGTCTTGTTTCGGAGTTGTTTGATCCTTCCTGGTGGAATTCTAGACTCTAAACCCTAACTCCTAAACCCCTAAGCCACAAGGTTCAGAAGATGGTTGCAAGCTACGCTTGTCGCAAGCCCAGAGATGCCAACGCGCACATATGACCCTGCAAACCTTAAGCTTCAAAGCTTAAGCAGAAACCCTAAACCCTGACCCTATTCCCGAAACCCTGACCCTATTTCCTAATTCCTGACCCCATCGCCTAAACCCTGACCCTATTCCCTAAAGCCTGCCCCTATTGCCTAAACCCTGAGGATCTGAAAAGGTCGACAACACCTTTGCTGGCCTTACAGTGCTGCCGCCCAGCAGCAATCATGTTGCCCTCGGCGTTTGTTTCGGACGCGATTCCCAAGGGCCTTCACTTACACATGTCCCTTTTAGACCGCGAGCGGTCGAAACTCAAACCTGTTGTGCTAGATTTCAGGACTTATCTCAAGAAACCATAGTAAGGCCCTCTAAGCCCTAAGCACGTAGGTTGCTTCGGTTCAGGTAGGGTTTCCCGCCTCTGCTTCCTCCTAGGTTGGCTCGCCGTGGCGCTGGGCTGGCGCGCATTTACTTTGCCCGGAGCCAAGAAGTAGCCGTCGGAACAACACAACTCCTGAAACCCTATAAACCCTAAACCCCAAACCCTAAACCCTAAACCCCACAACTCCTGAAGCCCTAAACCCTAAACCCTGAAACCCTAAACCCTAAACCCCTAAATGACCGATGTAAGCCCAAAGCCCTAAACCCTCAACCCGAGAGTTCCATCTGCATGGGGTGGACAGGCCAACGGAGTTGCGTGGGTTTTTCACTTTTTGCTGGGGTGCAACTTGGGTTCAGGGTTTAGGGTTTAGGGTTAGTTTGGTGCGTTATCCGGGTTTAGCATGTACGGCTGCCTGGTTTTTCCACCTTGAAAAATTCAGAACCTTAAGATTTCATGTCGACGGTAGCATCAATACCCAAGTCCGAGTTTCTAAACCCTTCTGAGCCCGAAACCCAAACACAGACCCAAGAGCCTGGTTGATGAATACCCCAAAGAAAGGTTGGGTTTAGGGTTTAGGGTTTAGGGTTTAGGGTTTAGGGTTTAGGGTTTATCCAGCATTTCCACCTTTGTTTGGCCAGTTCGGCTTGCAGGCGTTGCTCCTTGCCAACTCTTGCAAAAGCTGTGTCGCAGGCCAGAAGCCCGCCACAGCCCCAAATCAATCGTTGCATCTTAGTGGGCTCACTCTACACTTACAAACCCTAAACCCTAAACCCTAAAACCCTAAACCCTAAACCCTAAATTACTTACAGCTGCAAGCCAGACCTTCAAACCCCCTGCGCCAGTTTGGCATTTTCCAGGATGGACCCTTGGTGAGAATGTCCGTCACTGTGGAAATCGCACTGCTCAGCGGAAGGACAGTTACTGTAACAGCAGACCAAGATGAACAGCTGGAAGCATTGAATCGTCGCGCGCAGACTGCACTTGGAGTGGGGAAAGGGCGGCTGGTGGACTCATCTGAAAGCGTTTTGGATGCATGTTCCACAATCGAGGCTGCCAAGCTTCAGAATGGCACTTCACTGACGTTGCATATAGGCCAACTTCAAGTTCAATCTACTGGTGGAGCTTTCGCTGCCATTCTCGGGGATGGATCGGTAGCGATTTGTGGTAGCTCTGACATGGGAGGTGACGGTAGTGCTGTGCAGGATCAGCTGAAGACTGTGCAGCAGATCCAAGCCACTAAATACGCTTTCGCTGCCATTCTTGGTGATGGATCTGTCGTCACCTGGGGTGGTGGTGACAGTGGAGGTGACAGTAGTGCTGTGCGGCATCAGCTGAAGAATGTGCAGCAGATCCAAGCCACTAACTACGCTTTCGCTGCCATTCTTGGCGATGGATCTGTCGTTACCTGGGGTCGTGCTGGCAGTGGAGGTGACAGTAGTGCTGTGCAGCATCAGCTGAAGAATGTGAAGCAGATCCAAGCCTCTGACAATGCTTTCGCTGCCATTCTTGGCGATGGATCTGTCGTCACCTGGAGTGGTGGTGGCAGTGGAGGGCACAGTCGTGCTGTGCAGCATCAGCTGAAGAATGTGCAGCAGATCCAAGCCACGAGCCACGCTTTCGCTGCCATTCTTGGCGATGGGTCGGTCGTGACCTGGGGTAATGCTGGACACGGCAGTGACAGTAGTGCTGTGCAGGATCAGCTGAAGACTGTGCAGCAGATCCAAGCCACTAAATTCGCTTTCGCTGCCATTCTTGGTGATGGATCTGTCGTCACCTGGGGTGGTGGTGACAGTGGAGGTGACAGTAGTGCTGTGCGGCATCAGCTGAAGAATGTGCAGCAGATCCAAGCCACTAACTATGCTTTCGCTGCCATTCTTGGCGATGAATCTGTCGTTACCTGGGGTCGTGCTG